GTAAAAATGGCCATACTCCCAAAACTGTTATACACATTTAATGCAATTGCAATTATAATACCACTGGTATACCTCACAGAACTAGCGCAAGCATTCCTAAAATTCATTTGGAACTGGAAGAGACCTAGAACAGCAAAAACAATACTTGGCAACAAAGGCAAGGCAAGGGGCATTTACAATTCCTGACTTGAAATTATACTAGAAAAATTTGTGATAAAAACAGCATGATACTACCAAAAGAATATATGTGAGAATTAATGGAACAGATTAAAAATGTAGAAATGACAAACACACTCAGCCACCTCATCTTTGACAAAGGGGCCAAAAAAGTTCACTGGAAGAAAGCTTCTTTGATAAATGGTGCTGGAAAAACTGGCTTTCCACATGCCAAATACTAAAACTAGACCCATGTCTCTCACCATGCACTAAACTAAAATTGCAATGCATCAAAGATCTAAATATTAAAGCAAGAAACACTAAATCTGCTGGAAGAGAGAATAGGCAGAACCCTTGAAGACACAGGTATAGGCAAAGATTCCGTAAATAAAGCCCTGACTGCACAGGAAATAATACAAAGAATCAACAACTGGGATCTTACCCTATTAAAATCCTTTTGCATGACAAAAGAAATCACTAACAGAGCGCAAAGGCACTCATGGAACAGGAAAAGGACTTATATCTAGAACATATAAAGAAATGAAAAAAGTCAGATTCCCAAATTAAAAGACCCAATCCAAAAATGGGCATCTCAGATGCCCACACACTTCTCAGATTAAGAAATACAAATGGCAAATATATGAAAAATGTTTAGTATCACTGGTTAACAGAGAGATGCAAATTACAACACTGAGATTCCATCCTGCTCCAGAAAGAATGGCAACCATCAAGAAATCAACCAATAACAAATGCTGGAGGAGCTGCAGGGGAAAAAAGGAACAGTTCTTCACTGTTGGTGGGAGCAGACTGGTGTAACCACTATGGAAATCATTAAATAGATTGCTAAAAAAAACTAGGATGAGAGGTCCCATTCAACCCAGCTATTCCACTGTGGGTATCTTCCCAGAAGAATTAAAAGCATTATACCACAGCACTATATGTGCACCCATGTTTATAGCAGTATAGTTTGTCATAGCTAAATCTTAGAAATAACCCAAATGCCCATCCACTGAGGAATGGATAAAGAAGGTGTGGTTTTTTATATAATGGAGTACTACTCTGCCATAAAGAAGGATAAATTTGAGGCATTTCTAGGTAAATGGATGCAACTTGAGGCCATATTCCTAAGTGAAATAAATCAGACTCACATGTGTAAATATTGCATTGTCTCCCTGGTGTGAGAAATTGAGAGTAAATTAGGACCAAAATGTACAATAGATATTGTGAAATGGGAAGAAATTGTTCAAAAGGAAAAAAGAACTAGTGTGGAGGAAGAGGGAAAGGAAGGAACGGAAAAGGGAAGAAAATATTTAAAAAAAAGGATAAAATGGAAACAAAGCTTTATAAACAGGGAGGGGAAGAGGGGCTGTAGGGAAGAGAGGGGATTGGGAAAAAGAGAGGAATCAAAATATATCATGCACAGGTACAAACTTCCTGTGATGAATATAAACATTATGGGTATCTAAAATGTATCAATACATTTAATAAAAAAATTCTATTCCCTCTGAGAAAACTCAGGAAAGTACTATACAATAAAAATGGAAGATGATAAAAGATAATTTATCTGTTTAAATCTCAGCTCCAAATAATAAGCTTCACTAGATTTGAGGGTGAAAAACTTCTGCAAAATGGTCTTAAGTTCTAATACTGTGAGTACCTGCTATAAGCAAATATAAACACTTGCTATGGGATTATAGCCTCAACTCAAACACAAGTTTCTCACAAATCAATGTTACACACAACTGAGCTCATAGTCTAAAATTACAAAATTCACATGGAAACAAAAAGCCAGAAAAAAATCAACAGGAAAAAAAGAACAAAAAGAACTAGACGTCTATGAATATTAATTATCAGTTATAAACATAAAATATAAAACATACAGAAAATACCAAACAAAAACATGAACAAAGAAGTTCCAAAAAACAAAAGAATTTCTAGAAATAAAAAATATAATTATTAAATACCAAACAATAAAAATATTTTTAAACAATATTGTAACAATTGGAGAAAATAGATTATGGACTGTTAGATGACCATAAATGTTCTGTTAATTTTTATTAGGTGTGATAATGGAATTATAATTGTTTAAAATACCACTTTCTTTTATCTGTGTGTACTAAAATATGATATATTACCTGGGATTTGTTTTAAAATGTGTCAGAAAATAAAAAAAGGAATATAGGAAGGGAATATAGGGAAATGTGGAAAATATTAAATTTGAGTGATGTATGTGAAATTTTTCGTAATAAAAATGAAAATTTAGTGGTTACCTTCATTAGAATATTAGGTATATTAGGTCAAAGAAAGAACAAGACAACTGGAAGACAGACCTGATTTTAAGTAAAATTTAAAGAAAAACACACCTTCCTTCGGGCTCACTGCAGCAGGAAGACTGTTCCAGTCAAGGGTCCACATAGGGCAGGGGTGGGGAGAAAACATCACTTCAATGCCTTTTTCCTAGAAAAGAAAATAGTCTCTTTCCAAATTAATGAATTAATAAAAATCATGTTTTGTTTAGATGGTAAAATTTATATTTTCTATCTTATTATGAAGGGGCAGTAATAGAAAAATCGTTTATTACCCCAAATATTTAATTATATGAAAAAATGTAATATGTTGGGATTTTTGACACAATGCTTTTTTATACTGAAATAGTAGAAATTAATGTTATTTTAAAATTATTCCCCGAAAACACATAGAAGTAATGAGGCATCTAGAAATATATTGGTATCACAAAGTCACCTGAATATAAAACTTCATAAAAAATAATCCACACAAAGATTATAAAAAATGGACTGTACATGTCCATCAAGGTCCATCTATACAACATATCAGAAAACTGCTGTAAGCTGTTTGCTGTATTTCATAAAGCAAAACTACCACTTCAACACATATCCTAAAACACTGCCCCTAACAGCAGGCTATCAGTGGCGCTAATGTCTCTAGAAAAACATTCCTCTGGCTTAACAAATGGATCTCAACTTTGTAAGGAGGACCACTTTTCAATATATTAAAAGAAGTTTCAGGTTCTTTTCATAGCAAAATGACATATACATGGATTCACACACCCCTACCATTAAATTCTGTGTCTATGTCCCCTCAGCACATAACCATGTTCTGGTATTTTTACGTGTAGGACTAACATACTTTAAAATTTCAGCCAGGTATGGTGGTGTGTAATAGTCCCAACAGAGAGAAGACTGAAGGAGGACTGCTTGAACCCATGAGTTTGAGGTAAGCCTGGACAACAAGGAAGATCCCCATCTCAAAATAAAACAAATATATAGAAAGAAAAAGGAAGGAAAGATTGTTGAGAATTACAGTTAGTGAGATTACTTTTCTTTATGAAACTAGTTGAGTTAAAGTCTTGAAAAGAATAGTAGGAATACCCTTTTATTAAGAACAGTGACACAGCTATAGATCTCTAAGTTCAGAGCACTCACTCGGGCTGGAGATTTAGCTCAGCGGCAAAAGCGCCTGCCTGGCAAGCGCAAGGTCGTGAGTTCGGTTCCCGGTACCGGAGAAAAACCAAAAAAAAAAAAAAAAAAAAACCCAATAAACAAAAAACCAGAGCACTCACTGGCCTCTGCAAAGATACACACATCTCTCTTACATCATCTGCCCCTCTTCCACCTCCTTTCCTCTACTTTAGCCACACTGACCTTGCTGTTCCTCACTTCTACCATAGGATTTTTTAAGTACAACTATATTAAGATACTACATATAAATCTCAAAATTTACTCTTATAACATGAGATTCAGTAGTTTTTATAATATTCACAGTGATTCCCACTATATATTTCAGAACATTTCATCACTCTCCAGAGAAGCCTGCAGCTACTCAGCAGGGAAATCAAAGTCCCTTAGCAGTGCATCTGCCTGATCAAGACACCAACACCTAGACATGCCCTGACTACTGAAACCAACCTCTATGCATGTCAGCAACAGGCTACGAGTTCAGCTAATGCCATGTGGGTTTGGTATCACTACTAAAGTTTCCTTGTGCATTTCTAAACCAGTAAACTTTCTGTCACAATAGAACTCAAACACTTCCTAGTCCAAAGAGGAAAATAATAAATATTTCTTATGAGCAACTCAGATGAATACTCAAATCATTTTATGAATTCTCCTTTATTTAAGTGATCTTCAAATAATATTAATAAAAGCAAAACATTTTTGTAGATTATTTCAAATTGTAGGGAAAAGAAAGCCTACTGGTGAAATTTATAGTTAATATTATGAGAAACAAATTACGTTTCATTATTTTTATTACAAAAAAAATTTTCATAAAAATTTTTCATAAAAATCTCAAAATATTTCAAAATCATACATTTATATAAAACACTGGAAAATAAATTGAGATAGTCATCTTTATATTTAACTTCAAATCATCATCTCAAGCTTAAAAGGACTGAGACCAAAACTTGGTGATAGAAAAACATCAGATTAAAATAATACATTTGACCAGATATATGATATTGGTCCATGTCTTGACTATAAAAACATTTTAAGAAAAATACTTTAAAAAAATATATATTGTAATTTACGTGACTCCAAAGACACACAGTATTAAAACTCTCCAATGTACTATATTTTACTTAAATGCAAAAGACTACGAGAAATGCTAATTAGTAAAAGTGATGTAAGAGTTATGGATAAAATTTGTAACAAAAGATTTTGTCAAAACTGCTCATTGGGGTAAGATGCTGAGACACAGTATCACAGGAAAGTTTTCAAATAACATTATAATAAAACAATTTACGTACCATTAACTTGGTCATAGTTGGTCTTGGCCCTCCTGTAAATAAAGGATCATTCTGTTCCTCTCCACTTGGGGCTTCACTTAATTGTGGATAGTGTTCATTTGGAGTGGTCAACAGCTCTGGTAAGTGGAGAAACTGGATCCCACACTTAGAAGCTGCTGTCTTTACTCTCGGCACTTCCTGAATCCTCTGGTACCAAGAGGCTAGCAATGGAAATTCTGTCAACCTCTCAGAAAATTTCTTGCAGATAACGACCTAGGTAGGAAAAGGTATAAAACATATTATTACTCGGTTTTGTTTGTTGAAAACAGCTGTATTGCAGTAGCTACATAGTATAAAACAGATACATTTAAGGGTAGTGAAGTTACACAACTGTGCAACTACCACAGCGCAGTTCTAACTCACTATGTCACCCCAACAGTTCCCCTGTGACCATCTGCAGTCCACCTCTGTTTACATGGTCAGTTGCAAGCAACTGTTTTCTGTATTAAAAACTTTACTTTTTTCTAGAATTTTTATAAATAAAATGATAAATTAAATGTGTCTATCTTACTTAGCATTGTGTTTCTGAGATTCAGTCATGAAGGTGTATTTACCAGTAGTTTCTTTTCTTTACATGTGAAGATTACTGTAGATATATTGCATTTTGCTTATTCATTTACCAGTTGATGGCTACTTGCATGTTTCCAGTTTTTGGCTATAATGAATAATGCTGCTACATGTATTTATGCACCTGTGTTTATGAAGCAGTATTTTCTCATTTTCAGGACTACATATTATGGAGTCAAGTTGCTAGGTTGTACGGTAAGTACAAGTTTAACTCCCAAAGAAACTGCCCAACATGGCCATACCACGCTGTATTCTCAAGGGTAATGCAAAGAGACTCTAATTTCTCCATACTTTGTTAACACTTGTTACTGTTATTTTTATTTTAGCCATTTTTATGGGTATGTAGTAGTATCTCATTGTGATTTTTCACTTGCATTTCCCTATGATTTATGATGCTGAACATTTTTGATGTGTTTGCCATTTGTACATTTTCTGTGATGATGTTTTTATCACTCACTTTTCATAATATAAAAATCAGATCAATAAAAAGGAAAGAAGCAACCCAAGTAAAAAGGAGACAAAATATCTGAATAAACAAACAGAAAAATATACAGATGGCAACACAACATATGAAAAATGTTAATCATCAAATGTCACTAAATTAAAACAAGGAGAGACCACTACAGACTTATTAGAGAAATGAAAATTCAAAACACTGACAATGCCAAATGATAGTGAGGATGTAGAACAGAAATTCTCCTTCTATGATGGTGGACATGCAAAACAGTATACCCATTTTGAAAGACAGTTTGGCAGTTCCTTACAAACCTTAACATACTCTTATTGTGTAATGCCATATTTATGCTCCAGAGAATTGAATACTTATATCCACAGTTTGTAACAACTTTAACCATAACTGCCCAAACTGGGAAGGAACTAAGATGATATTTTGTAGGTGAGCTGCGGTACATCTGCACAAAGGTAAAAAATCAACACTCAATAGGGAAAGGAGAAACAGAATTCCAATGAAAATCACTGTGCATAATGACGTTTCTAAATGTCTATAGTAAGGGCTATAGCTGAAAAGCATTTTGGCAAACTGGACATCTTGCATCCATTTGTCTATCATCTTTCACAGGTGGATGTTATGGCTTGTGTCTAGATGTCCCCCCAAAGCCTCATCCAGTCATAGCCCTTTTTCAGAGGTGGCTGGATCTAGAGTGTGTGATGCTACGATTAAGGGTTTGTGATTACGTATCAGTCCAGTGACTGGTTTGGCACCGCCCTAATCCCAGCAGTATGAACAAAATACAACAGGTGGAAAGACGCTACTAGGCCCCCTTGCTTGCCTGTTTTTGCTGTCTTCTGACACCATGAACTGTTTCTCCCTGTGATGCTCCTCTGCCATGCCACTCTGCTTTGTACCCAGCTTATAACAGACTGAAACCTCTATAAACTGTGAGCTCAAAAACCTTTCCTCCCTTCACTTTGGGCATTGGTATTTTGTCTCAGCAACAAGAGAAAAGTAACTAAGACAGTGGACAATTTTTTTTCTTTTGAGACAGGGTCTTACAAAGTCACCAAGTCGCTTGGGCTGGGTGTGAACTTGTGATCCTTCCGCTTCAGCCTCCCAGAGTGCTGCACCACCACAGTCCTGACCACCATGCCCAGCTTGGTGGATGCTTCTCAACTGTCTTCAACAATTACTCTTTAACCAACTTTCTTCAAATCTGTAATTCACGACCAAGAACACATTCCACTGTCCCTGGCCCCCATTATATTTGATACATTCTCAACATACAGAATATAGAGAACTAAACAGAAAGCACTATATCAAAAACATTTAATATATACTTATTATGAAGTTAGCTGAAATTGTTCATGAAGAATTTAAAAAGCTGAAGTGTTGATTTCCTTAAAGAAAATTGTGTCACATTTTAAAATGATAGTATTTAAGGTCCATCTATAATCTTGATACATTTGACAGAGTCTCACTGAGTATCTACAGTTCACTAGAGAAATATGGAGTAGCGTCTGGATTTTTAGTAGTGATCTAAACTCCCATTTTTGTGTGAATTTTTTTACTTTAAAATAATGTAAGAAACACTATTCAGAATCATTACAATTGATTAAAATGATACAAGAAGGATGAAAATGTCACTCACGTAAAATAACAAAAAGTGAAATTGTAAGTATTTAGAACTAAAAAGATAACTACAGTAGCCTCTCTCCATCAATCCACAACTTTGTTTTCCAAGGTTTTTCCCAGTCAACTACGATTCAAAAATACTAAATGCAAAGTTCTAGGAACAGTTCATAAGTGTTCAACTGCAAACTACTGAGTACTGAGATGCAATCTTGTCATCTTACAGCAATCACCCCGTCCATTGTATTCATGCTGGGTGTGCTACCAGCTTCTTGCATATTTGGTAGCCATCTGGTTACCTGGTGTCACAGAACTTGAGGTCAAAGTTCTCTCATCTAATTGAGGACATCTCCACATGCAAGCAAGAGTGATGGTGCTGGCAATTCAGCATGGCAAAGACAGGCCAGGCCATAGGGGCTTCCTTCAAGTGAGAAGTGGAAGTTCTAGACCTAATTAGAACAAATATTTGTATGCTAAGGCTGCTGAGATCTAAGGTAAGGATTAATCTTGTGAAATAGTGAGGGAAAAGAAAATGCGTGCTACTTGTGCTGGCTCACCTTGTTCAGACAAGGCTAGAAGGCACAAGTGCTTGGTTAGGCATTAAACTGTGCAAGTATACATAAGGAACAACCATGTGGACAGGGCTTGGTACTGTCTGTAGTTTCAGGCACCTGCCCAGCCTTGGCAAAAGCCCTCCACTGATAACAGGGACAACGGGAGCAGTACTCAGGGATGCTTGTCATAAAGCAGCCCCCAAACCAGGCTTTCATTTATTATATTAGAAAATTTTGAAGCCACTATTGATGAAAAACCACATCTTTTTGTTTTCTTTTAGTAAGATGCTTTCTCCCTAGTATTATAACCAAGCCAGTTTCTTTCAAAATTAGTGTCCTTGATTCTTTGAGAGGCACTGACTTTGTTTCCATAGAAACCATTTTAATGTCACAAACAGATTAAGACTTACATTTAGAACAAACAGATAAGTAAAAAAGCCACAGAAAATATCAACAAATACATCTAGAAACTGGCATTACAGCATGAACAATAAAGGACAGAAAATTCTCAACACACTTCATACACATATATATTTTTCATATTTTTACTTTTAAGGTTAAATAAGTAGAAGCAGTTGATTATAAGCCCAAAGGTTATACAGTATCTACCATCTTTGAATACTCTGAACACTTACAACATGGCCTTGCAAATAATATTCTGTTGAGTGAATAATCAAATGATCAAGTGTTTACTTATATCTTCAGACAAACTTCTAAATTAGTGTTTTTCAAATTGCTATTTATGGCCCATTAGGAGGTTATGAAATCAATACCATAGGCATTCATGCATTTTTGTGGTAATACAGCTTAGACCATAAGCTAGGCTAACACTCTACACTGATTTGTACTCCTTGCTCTCCACAGTAGAGTTTTTTAAAAAGGGAAAAAGAAATTATCAAAGTACCCATCATGCACAGAAAAAACAAGGAAAGGGAACAAAAGAAAACCTTGAATTTTACTTGGTATACGAGATCACCCAATTTTATTGATTTACTAGGCCACTCTATTGTCATCCAGATAGCTCAGGAGTCTGAGCTGAATAGCTGAATAGCTGAACCATATTCATTTTAAAGATGTGTTCAAGGAAACAGTTAATGAAAACTGTCAAATAAAAATCTGTTCGTAAAAAATGACTACAAAGAAACAAAAAAGGTTTAAGATCAAAACCATTACAAATATCAGAGTTGTTGAAAGACAAAATAGAGATTCTTAAAGAAATAGATTAAAAATTATTTCTAGCAAGAGCATAAAATGAAAACCTAGTGGCTTTGTAGTTAGTTGTCATAAGGGGCAGAAAAACATGTCTGAGTAAAAAGACAAAGATGTCACATCTGTGTAAAATATCTCCTCTGCCTCCCTTTCCTATCATTTATTATGTAAAGTATTTGTTGCTGGCTTTGTATCATCTCCTCAGTCATGTCTAATCTTATGCAAACATGCCATAATTCACAAGGGTTTAGGTGAGTAGTGAAGGCAGGAAAAAAATAGTAACCAATGTATTAAATGGAAAAATAATCCCAGTTTGGCATTTTTTACACATAGACTAGAATGAATGGATTAAAAGTGAAAATACTTAAGGATTGAATGTATAAGAAAGGATATGGAAATTTACCACAAAATAAGAGGCATCCATCATTTTGAAATATGCCAGCAAATAGATCCCCTTTTCATTCACAATTTTATATTATTGAGGACACTGAAAGAGGTGTTTTACATAAGTATTTCTGCTCAAAAATCAATGTCTAAAACAGGAATGATTTTACTTTACTTAATAAATTCAAGTCAAGTACTACAAGTTAAAATGTAGCAAACCCTAAGTACTCAAATTACAAAAGGATTTCATACAAATGCTATCTTCCTTGGAGTAAAATTTTTTAATTAGTTCTACCAATGCGTACCTGTTTAGTAGCAGCAACAAAAGAATAACTATACAATTTCCGGCTACTAGAGCATAAGCATTTGCCCCTATGAAACTACTTATTGCCACTTCTATATGCGTGATATATGACCAACAAGATGATTCCAGCAAATGAATTAAGGGGAAGGCAATAGAAGTGTTTGCTAATTTATTCCTTTTTAATCTATTCCTAAAACAGTCCATAGGAGATGGTATTCAAGGCTACTGCCACGAAGGAGTTCTGGGCCATGAGGGATTAATTTTGCAAACTAAAACCTACCAAAAAGCTTGGAACAGATTTATATACAACACCTCCACCACCCAATCTGATACTGTTTTGCATTTTGACCTCTGAATATCCAACCCTTAGCTTAGCGAAACGGTTTCTGCTCTTTCACGTCTAGGACCTCACTGCTGCAGCTGGCTACCTGCTCTGACCCTAGGTTCAGTTCTGGGCTTCTGATCCACACCTAGTACCTTCATTACGATCACTCATTTGATCCTGATTCTGACCATTTGGAATGGCACTGCGTTCACCTCAATGTGTGCTGACTCAAGCACAAAGGCTTGGCAGCCGAGCCACCATGTGCACTAAAATGATGGCTGCATTACCCAGAATGACTTAAAGGAGGAAACCAGAAATAACATCAAAGCTTTGGCAAAGAAAGATAAATTCCTGAAACAAAATGTGGGGATCCAGGAAAAATACAAAGCAATAAAGGAAAATATTTTAAGAATTAATTTACATATAAAATGTCAAAAAGCATAGAAAAGGCTAAGTATACAAGTTTCCCTTATTTTAGGTAAGTGTTATTTATTTATTTACTGGTTTCTTTCTGTCTTCCTCTACTAGAAATATTAACTCCATGAGCGCTAGGACCTTATCTGTCTTGTTCACCACTGTACTCCTCGTGTGTACACACTGCCTGACACACACCACAGGTTTTCACTAAGATCCTCCAAATAATGCGTGGGTATGCCACTTTGGTCCAATTCTTATAAAATTAAAAACAAATAGTTATTTAGAGAAGTCATGAACACTAAGTGCTTCACAGTACACCAAACTTGTGCTCCAGTGACTGAAGTTGGTAATAGAACAGATGAGCCAGGGATAACTGAATCACAAATCGTTTGACCATGAAAAAAAAAAAAAAAAAATCAATGTATTCTCCCCACTTGGCTCTGTGGACACGAACACATAAGCCATCAGACATCTAAAGCACCAGTGAATACCTACACAGTTCCTGCAGCTCCCTTTTCTTTCACATTGTTTGATTCTGAAATTATTGTGCCAGTCTTCCTTTCAATTTTGAAGAAAACGGAAGGTTCTTTAAGAAATGGCAACTGATCCACATTGCCTAAGTCATTAATGAAGTACTGGCCTCTAAACATATAGATTTGCATCTAAGTCTCTTCTATCAGTAGAGATGCCTGAAGTGGCAGTGGTCTATAATGAGAATGAAATCTGGTATCTGATTCCTTGGTAGGGGAAAGGGGAAAGTGCTTCAAAGCATGAAAAATGCAGGCCTTCGAAACCAACTGAAGGCTGTAGCAAGCCATTTCCCATGTACATGCTGGTATCATTTTCACTCTACTCTTTTTTTTCTTCACAAGGAATAAAACATATATAAAAAGATAAATATAGATAGATAGCTCTCCCTAAAAGGAAAGAAACTTCCATCTATATTCTCCCATAGCAGAGAATAGCTTTTAATGAGAACTGGGGCACACACACGATGAAGATGGAACCTGTCTGACTGATAATATCTACCATAATGGAATTACTATTTTAGGTGACTATCAAATATAGCTGACAAGATTTTTTTTTTTTTAGTTTTTAGGGTTAGTTTGTTTTTTTTTTTCTTGAATTCTGGACTCTCTTATATTAGAAGGCAATCTCAAAAGCAACTGAAATAACCACAAAAATTGCTAACATTGTAGCCACTCAAAATTAAAGGTCATACTAATTATTTTTGTTCCTTACACTGATCACTGTAACAAAATACTCAAGAAAATCAGTGTAATAAAGGAAGTGGTTTATTTTGGCTCACAGTTGCAAGGTTTTAAGGTGTCAGTCCATGGTCAGCTGGCCCTGCTTAGGCCTGTGGCAGCACATAACTCCATGGGAGGAGCATGTGGTGCAAGAAACCTGTACACCAGATGGAGACACAGAGCAGAAGGGGTCCCTTCAAGGGCAGGACCCCAGTGACCTGGCTTCTTTCCACTATGCCCTACGTCCAAAGTTCTTCCACCTCCCAACTGCAACACAGGCTAAGGCCCAAGCCTTCAATAAAGGAGTCTTTGGGGAATATTCAAGATCCAAACTAGAGCAGAGAGGCAGCACAATCTCTACTTTGCAGAAAAGAAAATGAAGACAGATATTAATAATTTGCCCAGAAGCATAAAAGTAAGAAGTCGAATTGGACTTCAAACCTAAGCAATTTCACTGATCCAAACACAAACACATGACAGTATGTACACCCCAAGTAAAATCTTACCAGAAAGTGGTGGATACAGGGCAGGAGCACGATGTCTGCCAAGGTGAAGAAAAGCCCTTCTGCAAACACATGCTCCAGAGGAGGAAGGTCAGAGGCTTTGGCTTTCCGGATGTGGGGAGGCTCCCTGCTGGGAGCTGCTGGCCCTTCCTGCACTTCAAGCTTCGAGAACGCCACTTTCAGTTCCAGACTCTGGGATGCAGAGTCTGACTCTTCCGACGCTTCCAGAGGATGGATGTGGCTCTTTGCTTGTTCCTTAGCCAGGGCAGGCTCGACGCCGGCTGCCTTCTGCTGCTTCAGCTTCTGCCTGCGGAGTTTGTCGTCGTTGTGGACTCTCACAGGCTCGCTCAGCTTCTTCTCCAGCTGCAGGATTTCCACGGGGATGGCTGTGGGCTGCTCCAAAGACTCTCTGAGGAAATTCTCAATAGCCAAAGGGATGGTAAGCTCACACAGCCTGGTCCACTGGCTGACCTGAGAGACAAAACAAGTCTGAAGGACTTCTTACCTCAAAGTGGCCTGAAGAGAAAGAATGGTTTTATTGGGAACTCAAACTGGTTTGGAGAATTTGAGGCTTGAGCTAAACCACCTGTAGCCCAGACTTTTGTGTTATATATCAAGAAACATGTTACAGTGCTTTACAAGGAAAAACAACAGGTAATGAAAGTTTTCCCCTTCTGTATCCTTTTGCTGAATTAATCATTAATTCCCAAAGCCTTTAAAATCAGTTCCACCCCCTACATAAAAAATAAATCAGGGCTTCCAAAGCACTGCTATTTGAGCTCCTATTTATATGTAAAACTCTAAAAATCCTCAATATAAATAAGATACAGGATAACAAGGAAATCATCCTCTAAGAATAATGTCTCCAAACTTCATAAATTAAACCTTAAATTCTTATTTCTCAGTGCTACACTGAAATATTGGCACATATGAAGGACAACTTCAATTATTTCATTGGTCACTATGGACTTTTTAAAATAAATGACATTTTATTCTCAACAAGAAGTTAAAATAATTGTTCAAGGAAATTACTATTACTTTGTAGCTTTAAATAGCAGCCAAGAAAGACACTTTATACTTACTTCAGCACAGGCTTTCAAACAAGTCTTTTTAAAGCCCAGAAGTTCCAAAATTTCCTTCTTGGAGGGGTCTGTTTCATACGCTTTCTGGATTATGTGTCTCAGTACCACAGCAAGTCCCGCTCTACAAAAATTGTCTGGTTGTTCCACTACTGCAGGTAAACAGCAATTCTGGACTATCGGTGGAAGCTCCTGCCTTGAAATAAGCTGGATTTCAATGTCCTGAGACAGCACATCTCTTAGTGGTGAACTATCTGTACCTTCTTTGGCGAGGACCAAGCAAACTTTAAAGATTCTACAGTCACAGTATGATAACAAAAATAAAGTTACAGATGTATGAAGAGGAAAAATGCATCCTTCTGTTTGGTGAGAAAAGTCCAGGTATAGATATTCTTCTGTGAGACTTTTCTTAATGCCTTTCATTTTTTTCTTTCATTGAGTCACCTAAAGCATAAAATGATGTGGTTACAGGCCTTAGAATATTACAATTTAGAGTTTCAGAAGCCTATTCTAGAAATCAGTAAGAATTTGTGATTGATAATGATGTTAGAAGAATTTCTTCATCAAGACTAAAGGGGCTTCCAAAAGAAAAACCTCCTCCACCTTGTGCAGTTAAGTAGTTTTAGGGGTGGTTTTATACTCAGTGACTTTAAAATGAGCACATCTCACTGCTTTGTTAGACGGCATTCTTCATCACCTTTATTTTCCATATCCCCATAGTCAATCCATTAACAGCATTTTTGGTTCTATCTTTAATATACACTCAGAACCTGATTATTACATAGCATTTCCATTGCATCCACTGTGATCCAAGCCACAGCCACCTCTCCTGTAGTACAGCAATTGCCTCCTAATTCTGCCTGCCACCTCACTTCCTCATTTAGTCTATTTTTCAACACAGCAGGCAACGTGAGTCTATTAAAAATGAAGAAATGCCACTGTTCAGCTCAAAGCCAATTCCTCCCATCCTATTCTTGGAAAAACCAAAGCTTCAACTTTGGCCTACAAAGATCTTCCTGATCTAAGCCTCCTTCTGTGTCTCTTGAGATCATCTCATTAACTCTCCTATGGCTCACTGTTCATACCTCCCCAAAGTAGACTATTAATTACCTGAAACTCTAGGTACAACCCCACTTCCAGCCTTCCCACTTTGTCTGTCAAGAAACTGGAACACTCCTCACCCTGTCACTTCTTTACACAATAGCAAGTCCCTACTGTTACTGTCTCAGGATACTTTCATACTGTAAACCCCACCTTCCCTGAAAAAAGAAAATCTTTCCATTCCCTTCCAGACTTTATTTTTCTCCACAGCACTTACGAATACTGTAACATACTACATTTTATTATCTGTCTCCCCCCAATATTCCATAAGAGTGGATTTTTTTGTTGTTGTTTACTGCTATGCTTGAAACAGGGCCTATTCTATTTATATATAACAAAGAAGCAGGCGCTGGGGATTTAGCTCAGCGGCAAAAGCGCCTGCCTGGCAAGCGCAAGGTCGTGAGTTCGGTTCCCGGTACCGGAGAAAAACCAAAAAAAAAAAAAAAAAAAAAAACAAAGAAGCATATGTTAAATGAATGCTGGATAAGTCCACACATTGGTTATTTTCAAGATGTACACACACAATCTTGAGATCAAATTATTCCTTTATGGTTTTCACGAATTATTATGATGTTTTTATGTTTGGGTCAAACATGTCCTGGATCTAGTACTTCCCACATTCCAATCCATAAATCGTAATTCTGAAACTGACACTAGATGGCACTCTTTAAAAGCATTCACAGGGAAGTCCATGACAGGAAGGTAGCACATTAAGAGAAAAAAAGTTATTTTAAAGCCTTTAAAAAGTACCCATGCAACTTTGTCTTTGACATGCATTTGAAATGTTAGTATACCTGTAAAATTTAGGGAACCTTCACCATACTAAATTTCCTTTACAACTGTAAATTCTTTTGGGTTTTATTGTTATAATCAAAAGAGTCATCACTATTTAAGCTTCTTGATTCCCAATTGTTTTTTATTAAAGAGCTTCTAATCCATTATTAAAAAATATAATTAGTAAAGTACCACCTTTAAAAACTTCTTGATAACACATATAACCCAATGCTACATTTCTTTTATTAAGATATAGCAGATTTATATAATGGTTACTTTTTTATTATTATTTTAAAGAGTAAAAGAAGGATAACATAGTAATGGGGGGCTTACCGAATTACAAAGTGGTAGGAAATTATCAATGGTTGTTGTTTTACATATTGTTATCTACAAGATAATTTCTCAGGAAAACAAACAGACAAATAATAATGTGTTATAGACAAAAGTGGTAGGAGATTATCAATGGTTGTTGTACTATACTTTGATATCTTCAAAGTGGATTCTAAAGAAAATAAATAGAGCTATACATGAGTGGCCAACTGAATAGTCATTGACTATTCTCAATGCTTGCTGTTGGAAACACATAGTAATAAACATACAACCATTTACAAAATAGCAGGAACAATACAAACATTACAGAGTTATGGACAGATTAGTAGGAAAATATCAATGGCTGCTGTAATACATGGTGGTATCTTCAAAGTCGTTTCTCAGGAAGACAGAGATAGGTAAGAAGGATCTAACAAGTAGTTACAGCCTAAGGGTTGTGAAAAATAATGTATTACCTCCTCAACAGTGACTCCTTCCACTGAGGTGTGACGGCTGGAAGAAAGGCCAGGACTGAAAAGAAGGACTGACAGACTTGTACCTGTGTCTAGCAACAGGCTGTTTTCTTTTTCCTTTGTAGTCATGATTACCCCGGGCTCCTCCATGGAGATGACAGTCTGGCTATAATGATTATTTTTTAAAAAGATTATCTAAGGGACATTTTATAGAATTTAAAAATAATGACTGGTTACCTCAGAAACTATTTTCTCTCTGAGCTTAATTAACTAGAGCTGGAATTTATTTATTGAAGTTCACGAGAAAAAAGAACCAACCACTTCCTAGGAACTGGTAGTTGCTTTTCACAGTTTCCGCTAGAAATCTATTGCTAATTAATTTACCAATCCTCTGACTTACTCTCCTGACAGTGAGATAAAATAAAGCAAATCCCTAAGTACTTCAAGAAGGCAAATTTGAGAAAAACATGATCAATTATTTCACCTGCCTATCAGTTTAGGAAATAGTAATTAAGAGACTAGTCCTGCTAATGCTTTTTAAAAAACACGAAACAATGTTAGGCTATTTTATAGCACTTAAGATAGATGAGAAACACGTATAATTGCCACTTTCCAAGGCTTTTACACATTCTCTATAAACCCCTCTCACTGTGAACATTTAATATTAAATGTCAACAAAATAATATAGCAGGAACTGCTCATGGTTAAATCTAAAAATTAATGGTATGTCTAATAAAAATGCAAAGTACTGTTCATTCTTAACATATATATTTTTCAATATAGATGTTGCCTTTTTCTTGGAGACTACAAGTGTTACCCAATGATCCTGGAGTTTAAAAAAAAAATTACTTTCCAGGCAATTTGTCTCTGTAATGTATTAACAAGTATTAAATATTTACTAAAGCTGTACACATTTGATATCTTCTTTGGTTTACACTGTGTCTTTGATTTTTCAAGACAGGAGAACATAATTTTTGCTCAAAGTCTATAAATATCATAGAAGAAAGTTCTCTTCCCTTTTTCCTTCTCTTTGTACCCTGAGAAGCCCTTAGTTGATTAATTGTACACTACGAGCTTTAAAAGGTAGGAACTGGAGAATCGACTTCTGGACCTCCAGGATTCTGGGGCATAGCCCTTGCTACTCTGTATGACATTCCTGCCAAGCACAGAAGTACCATCAATCACTTTCTCTCAACCCTGCCAGGTGCAACACTACAGTCACTGCCTAGAAGCCCCACACAAAACTGCCAACTTCAAGACCTGGACAGAGCTTACCAAGAGGACATCCCTTCCCAGATAGGCCAGCAAGAATAAATAGGTCAAGAGAAAATACTGAAGTTCCATTAGCTTCATTCCTCAGGAATCTTCAAAGATATGTTTAAATGTTGCATTAATCACAAGCTTAATATTTAGGCATTTAGACTTCTTGCATTCTAATTTTAATTAATGATCTTGGCTTTGATAAATTAAAATATTTCATAATGAAAAGGGAAATGAGTGTAAGTTGCATAAAACAACTACACTCCATGCATGTTCATGTGAAAACACACACTGAACACATACAAAAAGATACAAAACAGCAAATGTAGAACAATAAGCATACTTTTTTTTGAGACTGGGTCTTGCTATGTACCCCAGGCTGACCTCAAACTCACTCCTGCCTCAGCCTCCCCGAGTGCCAGGATTACAGGTGTGCACCACTATGCCCAGCTAAGCATACTTCTTTAGAAGGTGGGAAAAAAACAGGTGAAATTGAAATGTTTGGGGCTCAAAATTCAACTCAAGATTTTTGCAGCTAAATATTTATAACTCTCCCCTGGTTTTTTCTTTACAGCACTTAACACCTGACATTTTATCTCTAATGTTTAGCAGTACTCAATTTTTAGCTCATAGTATGGATACCCAATAAATCTATAAATGAACGTTGATAATCACTTTCTTCAGAATAGCACTACTGAGTACCTTAGTCTTCCTATAAGCCTCATTCTGATAACATCATTCTTTTTCTTGCAAATGAGTACATCTATTTTACAGGCCAACTAAGTATAAATATAAGTGAAGAAATGCGATCACCTTGTGATCAGCTGATTCAGAAAAACTACAACTGGAATCCACCCAAACTGTGAATAAAGAAAACATAAGAATTAAACAATAATGCCAATACAACATACCAGAATTTATGGGACACAATGAAAGCAGTCCTATAAGGGAAATTTACAGCATAAATGAATACCCATATGAAGAAAACAGGGCAAGCTCAAATAAACAACTTAATGTTGAACCTCAAGCTTCTAGGAAAAGAAAAACAAGTAAAGCCCAAAGATCATACAAGGGAGGAAATAGAATTATTAAGATCAGAGCAGAAATTAATGCAATGGAGACTATAAAAACAACACAAACAGTGAACTGAAAAGCTGTTTTTCTGAAAGATTACATAAAATCGAAAAACACTTAGTCAACATGTAGGGAGTGGTTGAAGCTGGAAATACTTTGGTCCTGAGAAAAACATCCTGCCTGAGACCATTCCAGTCATTAGTCACTAGGCAACCCTGTGTCTTGTGATACTAACTTTGTCAAAAGTATAAATAAATACCCCTACTGTTGTTGTTGGTTCTTCTCCTCCTATCCAGAGAGAGAGCTCTACCTGATCTCAGTTTTCATCTCGTCTTACTTCATCCCACTGCCATTTTTACCTAGGATTACTGACAGCCATTCAGATTTGAGCAGTCAACATGAGCAAAAATAGGAAAGAAAAGACTCAAATCTATGCCCTTAGGAATGAAAAGA